AATACCATTTTTTTTATCTTATTTGGTTAATAACAATTGAAATTTTTTACCTGCACCAAAATCCTTCAAAAACATTTTTCTAGAGGTGATTCCGAATCGAATGAGCTATCGCTCATATTTTTAGGACCTTAATCTCTATGTTTTTCAACTTGTTGATTAGACCAAAAATGCCAAAAGATCAACTTTCGCTAAACCGGTGTAGCGAATAGTGGGAAGAGGGAATAGGTCAAAGCACTCGAATAAATTTGATTTGAAATCTTTTTTTTTCAATTTTTTGCCTACTTTTTTTTTCTTTCTACTCTGTGGTAATTTTCATTTTGTATCTTGATTATTTCATTTGTTTCATTTTATTTTCATTTCTGGTTTCATTCTCTGATATGATTGATACTCATTATAATTTTATTTGTTCCTTCATATATTTCGAATCATAGTACAATCACATTAGACAATGGAAGTCCAAACTAATACAAGGAAACATGATATACTTTCATTTCTCGATACACATCAATAATTTGAAGTGAAATTTTGCGGTAAATTTTCTCGTGAAACTTCCCGCTGATTTCAATGAAGTGATTCATATGGAGATGAACAAACGATGCGATGTTTGAAATGAGATCTATGTCACAGCATATATTTTTCATGGCTCACTTTGCTACTTCCATAGTTTCTAAAGCATCTGAAAATCTATTGTCATGTAACGATCTCAAGAATTCCAGACAGTTTTCATTTTCTCCATGCCCGTTTTCCAATGTGCCTTGAGCGACACAAGATTTTTATGGTCTTCAATTGAAAAGGACAAGATATGAAAGTCGGATGGAATTAATGAAAAAAGGTATACTTTCAAGTACTATGAATTACTAAAACAGAAAATGAAATTTTATTTCAAGGACAAAGCACAAGCACTACAGGAAAATCCTCAAGGCGTTCTAAGAGCGGTGCCTGTGCGAAAATATCGATTCACATTGGATTCCACATAAACGCAATTCTGAGTTGAACCTCAAAAAGATAAGCAGCCACAGTCCTTCATATTTTTCTGATATGTACCACTCTTCGTGGAATCAAATGTGCCAAGTCACTTGAACAATTCCCGTGGAAGTAGGTATCTCTAGAAGAGAGACAAATCCCCAACCTTCCCAGATGTTCCAGGCTATCAAGGTTGCAAGTGATGTTCGCGTATTCAATCAGGTGGATGGCTCTTTCCTGGAACGAATTCAGCAGCTTCAAGATATGCTTAGGGGCGGAGCTCTATACATGAGATCAATACTCCAATGAAGGTCTGATTTGAGCATTATAAAGCATCAAAAGATGCTGGAGACAAAAGGTTAGAGACAATCCGGATCCCCGGGGAACACCGCCGTTGATGGTGAAGGTATTCCAGAGGTATTCACGCGTCGCCGATAGGGCACCACCAACTGTTTTTTCAAATGAAGAGGGGTCTTGTCATAACTCATTTCATAGGTATTCCTATACTTCATCCAACAAATTTTATTTTCCTATATTGAATTACTCGTACCTGGGTAATTTCATATTCGTTTCAAGAATTTGCAAGAAACGATAAACAACAGTTGAAGAAAAAATAAATTCAAAACTCACTCCGGTTCTTTCTAATGGATGACCAAACTGTTCACCATTTCATTCCTGACAATGATGAAATATGTTTACAAATTGATTTTCTACTTTATGAGATGTTCTTGTGATATCTTCGTTACAAGTACCTCTTTCTCTTCTCAAATGAACTGCGGTTGAGTATCTATCATCAGTAGAGGGGAAAAGACGGGTCTGGACCTCCCCCCAAGGGTATGCCCCCCCCAGATACACACCACTGACTGTGACCTTGATTCGTTTTTTTATTCTCTGCCTATGAGTTGACCTTGAGTTGTGTGTAACATGATGAGGTGAAACCCCTTTTTTACTCTCCGCCCATGAGTGGCATTGAGATGTGTGTGATGTCATGACCGTGAACCGCTTTTTACTGTACAGCTATGATTTGGCCTTGCATGGTCACATGACCTTGGAAATTTCCTAAGCGATTTCGAGCTACGAACACGTCATATGACCTTGGGAAAAAATTCTGATCGATATTGACCTCGGAACACGTCATATGACCTTAAACACAAAGTGTGGATAGACAACCGGCTTTGCCCTTGATACATGAGCTCAAATATAAAGAAGATGTAACCTTGAACCCCTTCCCTCCTGATAATTTTTCTATAAGTATGGAGTTTCATACTTTCACATTCAGTTCATATAATCTCAAGTGTTCGAATAGGTGATTAGTATTTGTTGAGTTTCAAGGTGATAACGAGAAGTAACTAGCAATCCAAGTAGTGAGTGTTGACATCGTCATAGAGGTGAACATATTTTTTATATTCTTAAACTGTAATTTTCACTATTTTTTTTGAAATGGATAATTTGAAATTTGACATTGAAAAGATTAATTTTGCAATTAATCAACAAAATGAAGTTTNTCACTGGGGTATCCTTCGGCAATTCATTGAATCGATAGAGCTAATCCTTCCTCTTGTTGGTAACGGAACTGGTTTTTGATCGACCAATGGTGATGTTATAATCTTGTGAGTAATAACTCCCGAAAGTGATTTCACGTCATTTACTGGTGATGATAATTTTTTTGCTTCCTTCTGAAAGTAATATTCATTGTTTTAAATTTTTAATTTACTTTCATTGAGAAAAAGAAGCATTATCTTCGATTGCGTTAATCACACTATTGCATAAATTATACCGATACGGCATCAGAGGAATTGGTTGTACTGCAATATTTCACAATGAATTGAGACTGGCCTGAACAAATTGTTCTTCTGGATAATTTGATCACCAGAATATAAAACAAAATAGTAAAATGTCCCTCACCATATGTTTTTATCTCTCTATACGGAAAATATTCACAAAAAACTTGTGAGAAAATGTCATTTGTTTTTTTTTGATCACAGATGATGAACAAATATGTGATGGATTCTGTGGACATTTGATGAAAATCTGTAACATGTTGCGTTTTTTAGAAAACGGTTCAGTGAAAATTCCTCAATGAAGTGTTTCTTGAATAAGAAGATGAGCTAAATATAACGTTTCTGGGTATGCAGAAAAATAGGTATTCATTTTTCTGAACTGAACTGAAAACTCCGTGGTGGAATACGCATTTATGACATACATGTAATAGCTTTTCAATTCAGAAATAGAAGAGGTATTGTGTATGTCATTCAACTGTTAGTGCTCTATCACGGACAGAAACCATCATATTAGAAACCACTGATAATTTCAGTGGTTTCTAATATGATGTCGTGAATAAACACCTTTCTGGCGCTTACTTCAGAAACGCTGCGCTGGCTGAACCCCACGAGGTAGATAAAAAAATGTACTAGAGTATTGTACACCTTGAAAAGGTCTACAAAAAAGTTCGCGATGCTAGGTATATGTCTATCTCTTAGGAATAACCCATAAAAACCATTTTTAATCCTTTCCTTTTTTGCGAAGCGATTTCAAGCAATACGACATTAAGATTTATGCAATTGAGAACTTTCAATACATTGTGCAATGAATTTATATCAATATGGCCCTTTACATCATGTAATATAAATGAATATCATCGAAGACATTACAGATTTAAACAGCAGAGGCCCAGCGGTTGCAGCGGTACCGGCTGGTGACGCGTACCTATAAATAGCACGTCGAAAGCCTCGCTTTGCCCTAGAGAAATTTGTGATTACCAGCATCAGTAATTAGTATCAGCATTGCACCCATGCAGAGCCGAGGCGGTTCGCTAGTGGTATCATATGTGAAGGCATTCTTCCATGTATGTATAGCCAATACATGCACGATGTGATTCAGGTCGGGGAATTGTACTAGTCGTGGTAATACATCAATTTATTCGTTGGCGAGCGAATCTACCACCAGCCGAGCGACATGTGGATGAGCAGAATCATGTATGAGGTGGAAGTTTCAACCAACAGCACCAGCAAATGGACGAACGATAGGTAGAAGAATGGTGTCGAGGTACTGTCGAGCTGTGAGGGAGCGATTTGGAAAAACGAGATCGGTTCTGCCACCGATTATCATTTAGTTCAATACTATTACTGCATCACTACTACTTCTATATGTGTGGATCTTCTGAACATTTTTACGGCAATCCACATTTCCAAATCGTCTCTACACTCATATTTGAAGAGAATCTGGATTCGTCGTCTGGATCATTTACATTCAGTTTTGATATTCTTGATACCACTCTTGTAGCGCCTCTGGACAAAGGTGAATATCTGAATGGCATCCGACTGTGGATATTGACTTCGTGGAGTTGGCCTACGGTTATCTGGTGCGATCAAATTCAGATGTAACGCGTGTATGTTCTGGATGTTATTCGACCAGGATTGATTTCTACGAAAACGCTGCCACAATTGATTTATGAGACTGGGAGACTCTCTCTCAGTATGCCGCATGGCACTTTCCAGAAGCCCTACAGCCCTTTTGATCCCATTCAAAGTTAAATAATGAAGTTCCATGATGAAACACAATAGTTTTAAAGCATTTGCTAAACAAAAACTGTATAGCATGAAAAAATTCACAATGTTTATCGTTTCTGAATATACTGCTATAAATAAAACGCAAACTTTTTCTTTTTTACTTCAAAAGCGGTTTTTTATTTTTCTTGTTTACAAAAACTGTCATTCAACTATTTTTCAAAATGTCAAAACAAATACAATGTGATTCTTATTCAAATAAAACTCAACAAGACTATTACGATATATGTTATTTGAGATATGGATTATTTTTTGAGGAATAACAACCTCTTTGTTGTGCAAAAAAGCATAATTGGTTTTGGGTTGATTCTCAACGACGAAATGTCATTTAAAGATTCGTTTGAGAGTCTGATAATATAAATTTCATATTTTTCGAATTGAAAAATATTTTTCGTCCTTACAATTTTCAACATATTTATTATAGCTTGTACAATTCTGGAGAAAAATCATCTGTACAGTCAGTAAAATTCACCCATTCTTATAGGATATTTCAAGTAATATATCTTTGACAAGTCCCTTTGAAAATGTCTACCTTTTGTTTCCATTATTCAATATATTCTCCACTTTCTCACTTTCTCGAGTATTTTAATTTCCACAATCTGAAAAATATAAAAATTATAATAGAGAACTTTATACGCGTGTAGAAATATCAAATTTGTATACACACTGTTACTATATAAACTCGAAGTATTTTCCACAAATAAAAATATTCTATTCATAAGTAACTTGTATTCAATAACTTTGCCTATCATAAAAGTTTTAAGGAATTATACAGATACTTACCTCAATGTTTGAAAGGCTAAAATCTCCCTCCGTCTTTAGAATTGGAAAAATCTAAGTAAGTTAGCAGATTTTTTTTTCGCTGATTCCCTTTATATGTAAATTTCATCAACAGATGTCAAATGAATTTTTGAATGTGGAATGTGTCGATGTTGTTGATGTGCCAAAATAATTATTTGATGGAATTGAGACGTGTCATGACATTTCTCACGTTTTCACTTATATTTAATTACCCAGCAACACACTTTCGAAAATGTAGGTGAAATCATCTCAAAATTCACATGAATGAATATATGACATCAAAACAAACAGATCAAAAATAACTTTTTGAAACGCTAATAAAAACATCGTCCCAGGTATCTCAAAGGTACGAACTCTTTTCCCCTTTTTCATAAAAGAGGACGTATGCTTTTCCACTCACAGGCAATTTGGGTGATTGATTGACTTGTGAAACATACGATGTAGTACAAAGTGTTGTTTTCCATGACTGGTAGTCAAATACGATCCATTTATTGGAATACACTTTGGAATACACTTCTCTCCAGCTATAAGAATTTACGTTGATTTTTTGAGTTTATTTCTCTTCAAAGTGGGGTACACTGGCAATCATTCTCGTCTTGTTGTTCCATTAATCTGATTTCAAAACGTGTTTTGGAAATTTTTATCCCGTTGATAACCAATATGTATCACCAATATAATTTTTTCCGTAATAACAAGGTATTTTATGTATGCAATTTCTTATTTTTCTTCTGTATTGTTGGGTTTTGTATGTGTGAGTATAAATCACAAGTGTATCGGTGTTTCGTGAAAAGCTCTAACATCATATCTATTTTCAATTCGTCTAATCTTTTTAGATAGTCCTGATTGATTGAATCCCAGCCAAATTCGTGAATGAATGTCATTACGATGTCGTCGATGACATAAGTAGATCAAACTCATTCCGTGTATACTCATCGATGTATACCAGTGAGGATAACAGTGTTACATGTAAGTGAAATTTTCACCTTTCATTCAATATACTGTGTAGAAATCCTGTGAATGATATCTGATTCAATTCCATAACGAATGTTTGTAATACAAACTGAGTAGGGAAACGTGTTTTTGTATAGTTCAGTGTTCATATAAAAGTATTCGTTTCGAAAGAATGTTTTTTTTTCGAGTAATTCAATATTTATATGAAAGTAGCTATTTCAGGTGGGCTTTTTCTTCCAGTTTGTGTTTGAAAGTCACTTCTTTGCATGATCTACACATCTGTGTATTGAGTTACTCCTTTTAACATTAATTGCTTAATTTCTTTCTTCGAAAGATTCCCACATTTTTTTGTATCAAGATGAAGTAGTAGAAAGCCAAAAACTTTCTTTTCCAAAAAATTTTTCACTACTAAACATATAACCCTTCCAATTCAAAATACTGTATTATCTATGATTATTTTGCCACAGGGTCAATAATATGATATCCATTTGTGCTATGATTCCTATGATTTTCATTTCGAATGTTAAAGGTCTTTTCAATTTATGAATTATGCGATGTTGTTCTGAATATTTCTGCTATATTTTCTCTGCAATTTTTGTTTCCTTTTCAGCTGAGTCGTGAAGACAAACTCTGTCTCCAAAATCAAACTTTTCATATTTCGCTTCTATACGTTGAATAACATTGTGAATTCATAAATTGGTCGAACAAACTATAAAAAACGCAACTATGTACATGGGATTCATATGCCATCATTCTAAAAAGTGAGAATTCATTCCATGAATCATGATTTTTATAGCATAATGTAATGGAGTAACATAAGAAAACATAGATATTGAAAAGACTTCTTGAATAAGGATGACATACATTGCGATCTTGGATCTGTCAATATTCATCTCGGAGTCTTGTAGTAATGTGCGCAACGAAACCTTCAGCTACTGTGGATGCAGTATATCGAAACATACAGGATTGCCTCCGGCAATATTACGAAAACTTTTAGTGTCTTTGAGTGAGTGTCTTTGAGTGAGTGTCTTTGAGTGAGGTTATTTTCGAAAATTACATGAATAAATAATTCATTACATCCTGTTTGTTTCTTTTCCAGAATGAATTATTTGTATAACATCTATTATTCGTCTTTGTCCGTTATGAGACGAGGTAGGTGTAGAAAAGAATACTGAAATTCATTGTGTTCAATAATTTGACATATGATTCGTCTCAAATTTTTTTTTATTGACAAACAAGTTTATGGAGATCAAATCGTGAGGTGTAGTTTATGAATTTTTTCTCAAAGACAAAAGATTCCTTTACCAGTAACACAACCTATTTTATAGATTTGCCTATTGAATATAAAGAAAACATTTTATAGGCTACTTATACTAACGTTTCAAAGACCTCAATCTGGCCTCGTCATCAGAATCAAAAATCAGCTATATTTCACAGTACTTTTTTTGAAAGTTATGTTATTTTTGAATTTCTTCAGACGTTGTCAAAGAAAACTCAAAATATCATATTCCAAACCTTCGATACAGTACAATGTATTCTTTGATATCCAATACCTTCCACTGTTTCCTTAATTATGAGGGCCCAAATCCATTTTCAAAAAAGGGTTTGATATACAGTTATTACAGCAGTAAGAATGTTGCTGTTTCTTCGCGTTTCTGCCTCTTACTATGTTGGTCCTCTTGATTGAATGTTATGTTGATGTTCACTTTCGCAAACTTTCAATTGTCTTGATATTCATTCAGTTTAACGTCGCAAAAACAAGTCACGCCCCGAAAGGATACGTCGATATGTTTAACTGAAATGACTGAAACATGAATGCTATGCCTACTGATATATCATAAAATAATATATGCCAAAACAATCGGAAACATCCATACACTTCAAAATGTCACAATTCACTGGGGTATTTCAATTAATAAGGAATGTAATTTTTAAAATTTTCAGAACCGTACACATTATAAAACAAAATATTGCTTCAGCAATGGACAGTTTTTAATTATTAAGTAAAATAAATTACTCACCAAATTTTCATCATTGGTAGCCAGCGCATCATTCACAGTTTCAGAATCTTTAATTTTTTTACTAGATCCATCATTTTTTGAGAGTGGAACAGAAAGAACTGGTTTTCGATTAGGTATCGGGGATGATTTTGAATCATGTGGAGTAATGATACTTTTCACTTTCAGTAAATCTCCATTCGTCTGGTTGCTTGCAGAAGAATTTTCGGACATTATTTGTCTATCATCATTGATGAACTCGTAGGGATTTGGAAGTGAACCGGGTACGATTACTTTTTGTCTGCTAGGACACGCCGATTTTATGAAACCAACCTCCCCATATTGTGGGACCCCAGAATGAGTCTTCCGGTTGTACTGCGCATTTACGACGGAATTTAGTTCTTGCATGAAAATTGTTCTCCCTTTCAAAATATTTTTTTCTGGCCCATGCGACATTTCGTTGCTTGCAGACATGATTATTGGACCGCTCACGAAAGTTGAATCGCCTTTTGTATCATTCGTTGGGTAACATTTCGACAATAACTTTGAAGAATTTGACTTCAATTCATTTATAAATAGCAATAGTTCTTTTTTTTGGTTTGAAGTGAGTTTCCAGTCATTCATATCAAATTCTGTCATTTCCTGGAACGAACATTTGTCTCAACTCATTTGACTATACTTTTGAATATACTGTGTGGACGTAAATAATAGTTCCCACCCTTTGAAAAGGACAAGATATGAAAGTCGGATGGAATTAATGAAAAAAGGTATACTTTCAAGTACTATAAATTACTAAAACAGAAAATGAAATTTTATTCCAAGGACAAAGCACAAGCACTACAGGAAAATCCTCAAGGCGTTCTGAGAGCGGTGCCTGTGCGAAAATAGCGATTCACATTGAATTCAACATAAACGCAATTCTGAGTTAAACCTCAAAAAGATAAGCAGCCACAGTCCTCCATATTTTTCTGATATGTACCTCTCTTCGTGGAATCAAATGTGCCAAGTCACTTGAACAATTCCCGTGGTATCTCTAGAAGAGAGACAAATCCCCAACCTTCCCAGATATTCCAGGCTATCAAGGTTGCAAGTGATGTTCGCGTCTTCAATCAGGTGGATGGCTCTTTCCTGGAAGGAATTCAGCAGTTTCAGGATATGCTTAGAGGCGGAGCTCTATACATGAGATCAATACTCCAATGAAGGTCTGATTTGAGCATTATAAAGCATCAAAAGCTGCTGAAGACAAAAGGTTGGAGACAATCTGGATCCCTGTGGAACACCGCCGTTGATGGTGAAGGTATTCCAGAGGTATTCACGCGTCGCCGAAAGGGCACCACCAACTGTTTTTTCAAATGAAGAGGGGTCTTGTCATAATTCATTTCATAGGTATTCCTATACTTCATCCAACAAATTTTATTTTCCTGAATTGAATTACTCACTAGGAAGTAAAACTATTGTTTCTCCTATTATTGTGAACTTGATAATTATACTTCTTCACATGAATTTTATCCGACCTTGATATCTTGTTTCATTCATTATGAAAGCATTGACTTTTACTTTATTTTGAATCAAATGAATACTTATAATGCACTGTTTGGAACTTTTGGTGTGGTAATGAATTTTACTGGAGTTTTATCCCAACACCAAACCGTTATTTTCAACACTTCGATACGTGTTTCAATCACTGAGTGATTTTCTTCAATAGAAAAGTCAATCTTCTTCTTGAAAATGATCACTTGTTGATTGAAACACGTGTCGAGATATTAAAAATAACGGTTTGGTGGTGGAATAAATTTCCAGTAATACATTTTAAATAAATACTTACAAGCAATTTCTGTCCAGTCAAATCTTTTCCACTCAGAATATCAACTAGGTTTTCATTGCCAGTCTGAAAAAAATATCTGATCAGTTATCCAATAAAACATTTTTTTTAAATTGCAAACTTGTTTGATTCATGTGATTTTCTGGATGTTAAATTTATTCGAACACACATAGTATGAAAATATTCACAAAGGAATCATTTCAAGGAAAGAACCTTTATTTCGATCCTGGAAATGTCAGATGAATTTTTGATATCAAGAAGCGGAAGTATGAGGATGAAAAAACTAAAATATAGCTATAACACTTCTTATTGAATCTCAAAATAAGCATCGCTCCCTAATATTAAAACACCTTTTCCGTCGCAAGTTTCAACAACCCAGTTGGTGTCCGGAGGAGAAGATATCGGAACAATGTACTCACCTCCTGATGCGCCAACGTGGTTGATGAAACGCAAGTCAAGAAGAGCGTTGCAGTTTTGAAGTTTGGAAGCAATGCTGTTTTTCATTTACTTCATGGTAGAAGTTGAAAGTTATACCTTTCAGAAATAAAGTCCCGTTCTGTATCTGTAGAGTAGGAGGGGTGAGTGTAAGCCTACATCACTTAGGCCACATGTGACCCATTGTACATCCTCCCGAGGAATTGTCCTCCAAGATCATCGTCCATTCTGTCCTTTCTAGGGAGGTGGACATGTCACTGGGAGACATCTCATAATTAGGCCAAAACTCGCCGAAGACACACTCTCTTAATGACGATAACTCCGGGCACTCGCATAGGACATGCCCGACAGTCTCATCTTCCTGTTCACACATCCTGCATAAAGGTATGTCTACTAACCCCATATTATGAAGGTGTTTCCTTAATTGAGAATGGCCAGTCAGAAATCCTACTGTTAACCGTAGATTTTTCCTGGTCATCGCCAGATATTTTTTCGGCGCCAGTTTCTCAGGGTCGCTCAGGGTGATCCTGGCAAGATTGCATTCTTTGATTTCATCCCGTCTGTTTAGGGATTGAGCATAGGTTTAACATTTGGCTGGTTCCGCAATCGTCGAAGTCATCAGGCCGTAGGTGCCACTGGGTCCTAAAATTCTTAGTCCAGCCGCTTTCTTGGCTAAAGAGTCGGCGATGCGATTACCTTCACCCCTGTCGTGCCCTTTAACCCACCTCAGGATAATGTTACTATCTACCCGTTATTTGATACAACTTTCTCCCAGTGGATATGAAGGTTTCTGAAATGTAAAGGAAGTGGCTTCTGCACACGATGATTTGAATCCCCCAACGATGATGAAGCAAATTTTCCAAAAAATTTTGTATAGACTGAAAAAAACTCATACATGATACTTGAAGATCGTTTTCAAGAATAGTTCTTGTTAAAGGGTGATTGAACCAGCATTTTTTCTACGAAGATTTAACGAGGAGGTTTGGAAAGTTTTGGAACAAACGCTACCTCTGGTACTACAGGCAATGAAAGAGAAAATATAATACTATCGATGCACGATGCACATACTAGCATAGTTGCTCGTGACTTTCCAACCACAGATCGCTGAATTGGTTGAGATTCATCTCACTTATAACCTGCTCGATACTTGGACTTATATCAAATGTTTTTTTTGCAAGGCCATTTCAAAACACTAGTTTATTCTACTCCAGTACGAGATGTACAAGTTCAAGAAATTGAATAACCGCTTAGTGAGACACGTGTTTTTAAAATAGTTCGCTAGTCGATGAGAAGAGTGAATGTATTCAAGCTGAAGGTAGCCATATTCATCTTTTGTAGATAGAAATGCTTTATGAATATCTATATAAATCATAGTCGCAAAATCGTGTTAGTTGATTGGAAAATGGAAAATTAAAAAAAAATATAGAAGAATGAAAAAAATTGACGACGTTCGATTTGTTAGGATTTGACAGTTGTGCGCGCAAAGTCAATTGGGGTTATTATATTTGGAAGTGTGTGCCATTAATTAATTGTTATACAATAATGATGATAATAGTAATGATAATAATATTTATTTGCTCACATACAAAAGAAAGAGAAAAATAAAATGCGAATAAGTATCGTATAATCCACAGAAGTCACATATTATGTCACTTGTGTGTGGTGTGAGAAATGAAAAAAAGTATAGCAAAAGCCTAATCTAGAATATATACAATATACAGAATGAAATTATGGAGAACTAAACAAAGTGATGTAATTTAATCACAATCATATATATGAAACTGTATATATTTCATATATATGAAATACATAATGAATACATGTAGTGATAAATGAAAGCTCAAATGAAATTGGAATATTTCTAATATATATAATACTTGTTGACACCCGTTTGCTCTGATCGATCATTTAAATAATTTTTGTATGCTATTTGTATGAAACTGACACCTATTTACTCTGATCAAATATTTCACTAATTTTTGTGCGAGCTATGTTGTGTATGTATTTTATTTATTGAATGTTTCAATCGAGTATACAACACAAGAGTTTTAATGGTTTCTAGTAAATGAATATACACAACGGGGTCCAAAAAAGGGTGAGATCTTTGTCCTATTGACTCGTGTATGAAAGGTGCTATGTACCTGTTTTTATTTCGAGTGGTGTAGTTATGGCTTGACCTACATAATGTTTCCCTTTCCTCATATTGATTCAATATCAATGACTTGTAAAACAGCTGTTTAAGACCGGATAGTTCTAGTTTATGTAACATATCACTGGGATAACGAGGCGGTTTTTTCAACACCAGTTTCAAAAATTATTTGATTCAATTGGGAAAGTGTAGATTATTATTACAAAATGGCAAGTGATACGTTTTTTTGAAGTTCAATGGAAACTGTTTATGGTCGAGTCAATCTTTGAATTTTTCTAAATCTTTGTTTGTCATGTCTTTGAATCAAGACTGCAAAACTTATGATCGAAAAAAAACCTTCAGATAGATACTAAAAGGCAACGAACCCAGGACGGTTCCTTGCAGCACTCCACATTAGATTTTCTGCTCCTTATTCTCTTCTTATTCTCACATTCTCTTTTTTATCCATGAGATATGTCTCTATCAATTTATATGCATCACCTCTTCTTCCAATGTAATGTCATAACGGAAGTAAAAACAGCAATGTTGATTGCATACGCAAAGACGCGAGCGAGAAGATCAAATCTGCGAAATATTGCGAATAAATCCACTGCAGATGAGAAAGATGTCATACGGGAGTAGTACCGTATTCAGTGTTACCAGTGATATACCGTTTGGAACCTTTGGTGTAGTAATGAATATTACTGAAAAAACTCCAGTGATATTCGGTGTTACTAGGTCAAATTTCTCTGCTGTACATTTCCTGTTTCAGCTATTGACCTATCATTCCAACATTCAAATGTTAAAATCTTCTAATGACTCATGTTACTACCTATAATTATCTTTGAATGACTGTTGAATGAATCTACGACATACATTCTTCTCTAGTTTTTGTTTCCCTCCACTGTTTTTCTGACAATATCTACTACTTAGCATGAACATAATGAACATATAAAAAAAGGTATATAACTCAGCTGATAACACTACTAACAATATTTATCATTTCCAAGGAGATACCAAGTTCGCCATGTCAGCTCATTGTCGATGATAAATTTCAACATTTTTTCATTGTCCTGTATGTTTGAAAAGAAGAGGTTTACCAGCAATTATGCAGAATAGCAGAATAGTCCAGGGAATAACCATTAGTTTTGCTAATCATTTAGTAACAAACGAAATGCGGAAAAAACTAAATATCGTCTCATCATTTTTGATGCATAATAGAGATGGAATAAACATATAAAGTTCATAAGTAATCAGTTGTTATTCGCGAGTTTGTTCGCGTTATATTAAATTTTTCGATATTTCCATATTTTCATGATAATGAAAAAAAATATTACAGAAACTAACCTTCTTGATTATTGTGATCACCTGCTCCGCACTTAGCAGTTTCACTTTATTAGTTAATGCCATTCTTCTAATAATCTTCGTACAATCAGCATCTAATATACCACAATAAAACTGAATCACTCTCTAAAAATTCCTTTACGAATATCAAAATCAAATACCGAAGTGTTGAAGAACTAATCGATAAGACTACATAATTATCTTCAGACCGCTATCACATGGGTTTTCTATCAGTTCACGCCATTTCCTATAACTCGATTCTCATTTCACCACAAATTTATACAGTTTTAGTAAAGAGCTATGTTTCATATGACAATATCACGTAATACATAAGAAAATCCATGTGGCACTCGGAAAACACTTTATTGCGAGATTTTCACTAAACAGTTCCACAAAAATGCAATACCTGTTTCGCCATATGATGTGTGAAGACACATATAGGTGTGTAAAGTCACACCATAAGAAGTCATTGCATGGCAAAACACGAATTGCCATTTTATAAAATTGTTTAGTGAATGTCTGAAATGAAGATTATTTAATGCCAAACCTAAATTAGACAAAGGGAAGAGATCTGGTATATATCGACTAGAATGTGGTTCTAGTCATCTTCATTTAAATCAGGTTGGAAAATTTTCCCTTACCCTTTCAACTGAGGTTCGTCAGGAGGACGAATAGTTCATAACTGAAGATGTTTTTGGTGCCGCTCTGACCTACTGTACCCCTTCATGACTGGGGTAATTTGATGAACAAACTGTTCATCTTAACTGACGTCGTGGGGCCTTCACTCAACCGAGCGACGGGACCTTCTGAATCGAGTGGGGTCATCTTCAGCATAATCTACAGCTTTTCTGACTAATGGGTTATCATAAGTTTTCGCTGATTCGAAAACTCTCTGATTCCTCGACTGAATGGACTGCCATATAGTTAACAACTTCAAATCTCATCGGATGGCTTCATTCTGCACGAATCATGGATCATTCACCAGCATCCTGAGAAGATTTTTGGCAACCTTTTCAATATGGAAAGATTTGACGGAGCGGTTTGTCCCCAGGCGCCTGAAGCATACATGATGACAGGCTGGAACATCGGGTTCTATAGTAAAACCTTATTTCTAAGGTTGAGCTTCGAGTTGAGCTATCTTCATCTGAAGTTTGCTCTTGATGTAGTCAATGTTATTTGCCCAGGTGAGTCGGCGATCTACCCAAAGAGCTACGTACCTGACTCGCGTTTGCCATTCAATCTCCCTGCCTGAGATCGTGACCCTTGTGTCTGGAGAAACGTACCGTCTCTCCAAATCTATCGCCTGAGTTTTTTCTGGATTCACCCGGATCTTCAATTCGAAGTACCAGCGTTCGAGGTCGTCCAATGCGCGTTACATGTAGACGACCGCCATCGCTTGACCCATGGGAGAGGCGAAGAGAGCTGTGTCATCGACGTAAAGGGAAATCTTCACGTGGTCGAACCTCGGAAGGTCGCTCACGTGAAGGCTGTACAGTAGTGGAAACATTACGCTCCCTGAGGCACTCCAGCTTGGATTTTCCTGACAGGAGGCAGGGTTCCTTTGACTCGGACCTGAAATGTTCTTCTTTCCAGAATTGATCCAATCCACCGGACCAGACCCCGAGGCAGATCGAAATCGAGCATTTTGTGTAACAGACCTTAGTGCCAGACTCGGTCGAAGGCTTTCAAAATATCCAGAAGGACGAGGTGGACTTTCTTCCTGTTGTTAAGCTCGGAGATGGAAAATTCGACCTGTCTCAGGACCTGCAGCTCTGTGGAGTATGCCCTCCTGAAGCCGAATTGTCCGTCATTCTGAACATTTCGGTCTTCAACTTCTTTTGTTAGCATATGCAGCACAACACGTTCGGCCAACTTAGCCGTTGAACAAATCAGACTAATCTGACGATGATTCTGGGGAAACAGCAGGTTCTGGCCTTGTTTCGGAATCATGACAACTACGGCATGCTTCTATCTTCAACTGAAGTATCTGAGAGTGATTGAGCTGTTGATAATGTCCAGCAGATATCTGAAGTTCTCCTGGAGCTGCTTCAACAACATTTTGTTGATTGAATCTATTTCCGGAGCCTTCTTGAGTTTGGAGGCCCTAATGTACCCCCGCAGTTCTTCCTCCGAAGCTGGGGGGATCACGTCGTCATCATTTTACCTAAGGATGCGCCGAACCCGGTGTGGATATCACGGTCAATATCATCATCCGGATCAACGTTAAGTTGAAACTGGCTCTCCATCGTGTCTGCAAAGGCCAACGTCTGTCGCGCTGTCCGTGAAGAGGGGAGGGAGCGATTTTCCTCTTCTCGTGCCTACGAATAACCCGCCAGTGCTCCTCATCCCCAGGTTCAAGTGACTCCTTTCTCACTCGCTCCACCTTTCGTTTCTTTAGTCAGTGATGGCCTGTTAAACCTGGTTGATAAAAAATATGTCTAGAGTTTATACAGTTTATGAATCAGTCGAGTGATTAGTAAATATCGATTTCAGATAAAAAGCAAAGAGGTACAGAAATTGGTATGAGGTAAGTATTTGATAGTTATTTAAAATTACAGGTATCAACAACTCAACATTATTTTCAGAATAACATCATAATAGTGATTAATAATAATGTATGTATTCGAAGGTTTTCTGAAATTATAGATGAAGATTAACATTAATTTCATCTGACTCTATGAGCTCCTTTATTTTAGTTTTGAAAGCTTTTTCCCTTCTCAATTCTTTTACATATAAAGGTAGTGAATTATATAGTTTAGGGTCAATGAAGAAAACAAATCTTTGTAAGTGACTTTTCTTGGAAATTAGCAAGTCAAAGTAACTTAATGTTTGAGCGGATTAACAATGGGCTCTGTTTTACGGTAGGTATATATTAGGTAATGATATGATTTGAAAGGGATATTAAAATTACAGGTATCAACAGCTCAACATTATTTTCAGAATAACATCATAATAGTGAATAATAATATTTGTTTTGTAGTAAACTATGTATTTGAAGGTTTTCTTAAATTATAGATAAAGATTAACATTAATTTCATCTGACTCTATGAGCTCCTTTATTTTAGTTTTGAAAGCTTTTTCCCTTCTCAATTCTTTTACATATGAAGGTAGTGAATTATATAGTTTAGGGTCAATGAAGAAAAATCTTTGTAAGTGACTTTTCTTGAAAATTGGCAAGTCGAAGTAATTTAATGTTCAAGCCGATTAACAATGGGCTTTGTTTTACGGTAGGTAGGTATATATTAGGCAATAATATGCAAATGAGTTTTTCAAATTTAGTTGCTTGGATTCCTTATACAGACTTTTGGTATCAAATGATCTATTCTTTTAAAGACTATTCTTAACAAACAATTTTGAGTAGTTTGCAATTTTTTTGAGCGTTGTGGTAGAGACCCCAACATATTACTATGCTATATCTCAAAATCGACTCAGCTATTGAGATGTGAATTATGGAAAGGTTTTTCCTGCTGAGAATATCACGTAGCAAATTAAACTTATGTATTAGTTGCTGTAATTTCTTTGTTACATATTATACATGTTCATTCCACCTTAGGTGTTGGTCCACTATTACACCAAGATACTTCAGTTTATTGATTTTTTTTGAATCTGTGAACAACCTCTGAGGCATATTTCGTCACAAGAATGACTATATACTTGAACTTATATTTCTGTAGGTTGGTCTTCAATAGTTAGAGAGAAGGTGATAAAATTATTCTTCTGAAAATTTACTGTTAATAGGCTGTGGATATGAGAGACGCTTAATTTAGAACATGCATATACTTTTTCCATGTATCATTTATGAAAACAATAGCAGTATTGTAACGCTCGATCTCGCTACGGTGTTGGGTTGTCACTGTGATAGCCCAAGAATTCGGCTCCGGCTAACTGAGTGAAGACGGGAGTGGGGAAATATGCAACTTAAATTTCAATTGTGGGTGCCAGGTCATTTTACCCCTTCCGAATGCTTGTCTGAACCTTGTTTCTAAATTACCAAATGAACTTAGGCACATCTGTCACAAAAAAATTGTCATAATGAACTGATTCATCATAAATAAAAAAATGACATATTGATCTGATTCATTATAAACACTTCACGAGAATATCATATTAATTGTCAGTATGTAAATTCATATAAATGAATACAATTACATTTAGAATTGAACTATAATTGAGTCACGATCAAATATGGCAGAAATTAATATATGTTCCAAGATAACCAGAAGAAACCTTAAATAAAACCAAAATCAAATAACCGCTAGCTTTGGATCCAGAGCGAAAGGCACGTGTCACATATATCAAAAATGAAATGAATCATCAATATGAAACTAATTTCTACCATTCTTTTCTATCATTCACTGTCTACTTGCGTGGCTTGACATCTCCTGAAGTGCCAAACTCAATGTTGAAGTCCCTGACTCTGCTGAATTCAGGGTAGAAAAAAACTGAGTCCTTCTTCTATAATTTTCCCACTATTGAGTGAACAGCTCTCATTTATTTCCTCTCAGAGACAATTCCGCTGAGATATTTAAAATATAATATGAAATGAAATATTAAAATTTCTTCAGGGATACGGTACTTGGTGTTTAATTATGATTATGATAATTAGGTGTGTTGCAAGTATGAAAATATATTTTCGTAGGGATCGGTTCTACAAAAAAATTTAAAATGTACAAGATTTCGCCAATTGGATGCCGAAATATACCTGAAAAAAGTTTGAAGGAGCACGGTAGTACATCGCACTCCATCTACATTGAAAATACTTCAATAACAATTGGAAAGGTAATGTCTATCAGTTTAATGAAAGTAAACAACAATAGTTAAACTCTGTAATCTCACGGCACACCAGTTTACAAACAAAAAGGAGAGAGGGACCTATGGGCGCTTGAAAATTGTTATTCCGGCGTTTACGAATGAATATACCTTGTGGAAAAAATTGTTAGTGTTACAGTATCATCTGCATATGATACTATGTGGCCATGAAAGTTATTTAGATCAGCAATGTCGATAATATACACGAGAAACCATATTAGACCCAGCATCATTATTATTATTATAGAACATTTCAATGTCATTGAATGGTTCCATTTATTTGAATTACGGTAATAGAGGTTTACAATACTATATGTCTCTGGGTGATATAAACAGTATTAGGTC